AACACAGCATTACCAAAGTGTTGATGCATCTGACTAGTATTCTTTTCATCACTTTCTGAAGAAAATTATAGTGGCGAATGTGGTAATTTTTCAATGTAACTATTGTAATTTCTTGGAATACAAGATCTGTGTTTGATAAGTCAGACACATTACAGCCTGTTACATGCATTTTTTCATATTAATTTTTATTTTTATTTTTTTCAGATCTGTTGGATGATGAAGAAGCCATTCACCTTGAGGAGATCAGTGATGATGAGTTAGAAGAAGATCGTCAGGCTAAATTTAGTAAGTGTTGATAAATGGATGATAATATTTTTTTCTTAAGACAGAATAACAGCATTAGAGTTGGTGGTTGGAGATTGTTTGTATTTTTTTGGATGTATGACTTGAATTTATATCATGCTTTATGAAAATTATGTTATGATTATTAGAATGATCTTGGGCTAGTGCTGTATGGGATACTTTATAGAATAATTCTTGATTTTTACAGATGTTGCAGGTGCTTTGGATATAAACTGGGCTTCTCTTGTGCGTGATACCCCAGCAACACATGAGGTTGCGGCAGGAACAGCTCTCAAGAGATTCAGTCCTGCCCATCTGCTGGCACGGATAGGAGTGTCTACTAGATATGCTAGAAAGGAAGTGATAGAAAAAGTCAGAGCTGTGTGTGCTGCAGACGCTGCTAAAGATGAAGGCAAGTTCACCAGATTTTTATCCGTCTGGAAACTATTGATAGGTGTTTCTAATAGTTTTGTAGGAGTGGTGTTTAGAGATAATGAATTGTTATATTTGATTATCAGTGACTGTCATTTTTTTTTCGGTGGAATCCATTCCCTGCTGTAATTTGTGTATATGATTTTGTGTTATGAGTTTTCTTTGGTACTGTTTATCTACTTTTGTTCTGTTCTAAAATATAATACCAATTACAGAACCCAAGGACATTGAAGTGCCACCTGTAGTGGACTCCACAGGTGTTGTTCGCTTAATAAAGGCACGAGAGGAGAGCCGCCAAAGAATCCTGGATAGTATTGGTCCCAACAGGAGAGCTCTCTGTGCAAGGCAGGATATTGCCCTAAGGTAATTTTTTTTTTTTTTCCCCCACATTTCATAAAGTATGTAAAGTATGTTGCTAAAAACATCAGACAGTTTAACTCCTTAGATCCAGGTGCTTCACTGCCAGCACATGGCCAGTAATCTAGGCATTAGGTGTACTTGAGTGGCCACACTCACAGGTGTGTGGCTTGTAGGCCAGGTGCACACGAACACTCATCTGTGGTGCCAAGACCCTTTGCCTCCACTTTGCAATGTTATCTCTTTTTCAGAAGCCTTTTTTGCTTTTTTGCCATTGTGCAAATTTGTCATTTGATTTGCCCTCTCCAGATGGTACTACACTGTTTTCCTTGCACAGACTCCATATTGTCTTTCTAGGTAGTCCATAACTCAGTGCAATAATAATAATAATAGTGTCCTCCCTGGAGCCAATGCTTTTCCAGTCATGGCTCATGGATAGTACATTCCACACTCATTTACCAATATGAATAATACAAGATCCCCTTCCTAAATGCCCACTGAATCTAATCATCCTCTAAGAGCTTTGTGCATTTGTGGTGAGTCTTTCCTGTCACCCTAGTCCCCAGCTATAATTCTCATGATGGCATGTTCCCATCTCCCCTGCCCTCAGCTATATTTTTCCATGACATGCTCATGTCATCCACCTCTCAGCTGAATTTTTTTCATGATATGATGGTCACATCATCTGGATCCAAGCAGTTAAAAGTCACCAATTTCTTCTATATGGAAAAGCTACTATGCAGGAGTGAAAATTTGTTTGGGTCCCGAGATTAAAGATTTTATAAATGCACATGTATGCATACACAAAATGTTCTAAAGCAAATTCATGTATGTAACTTTAACATATGTGGATATTGCATCTAAACTTTTCTGAGTGTTCATTAGACCCATGCAATCATCATGTGTTATCCACTATCCCATGATGCTCCATTCAGAAGGATGATCTCATAGTACCTTTATACATTAAAAGTAATAAGTACCAGATATCCATATTATGAATTACAAAATTTGCTTCTCATCTTGGGGATATAAATCATGTGACAATGTCTATTTCTTTCCAGACGGCAACTGTGCAATCTCCCGGAGCAAGATCTTCTGGGTGACAATCCATTGCTTGACAAGGATTTGTTTAGACAGTCGGTCTCTTTACTGAAATCATGTTGAGCAAGACCTCCTGCAGATGTTATAAGAAAATGATAATAATTATTTTTTTTATCATAAACTGAAATGATGCACAAGAGTTGATACATCAAAAATGATAATTAACTATAAAATTTTCTTACAGAGATATTTTCTTGATTGGGACAGTTAGGTTGAATAATAAAACAGTTGTATTTTATCCGATTTTGTAATTTCCTTGTTTTCCACCAGAGTACTTCAACATATATATATTGTAGAATTATGAAATACATGAATCTGATCATTATGATTTTTTGTTTTTGTAGATCCATTAAAATGCTCCAAGTATTTAATAATATATACACACCAGAGATAGCCCCATATCTAAGTATATGTAGGGTGCTTGAAGAAAATGTAAAGGACATGTAATGTGCCCCTTATGATTTTTAAATATTTATTGAATTTTTTGTAAAAATAGTACATTTCAATTATTCTATCAAAACTAGATTCATTAAAGTATGATCACTGATGTTTTAAAGGATTTCTGACATATACCAAGTAATTACCATAAAACATTGTGCAAAAAGAGGAGTGGGTGATCCAGTAAAATGACACAAAATCAGTTATCCTGTAATTCTGGCACAATATTTTGTACAGAGCTATCAGATACACAAGTTATTTGCAAAGATAATCACATAAGTATCCTGAAGGACATTTACTGACACAGATAAAATTTCAACAGAGTCTTTTGCAGTGTTTCATTACTTGAACTCTATTTCTTCAATAGGTTAACATTTAGTATGTTATTAAAGATTGGCACTACAGAGCAATTACATTTAGGACAATAGAAAGACAATAGAAAATTATATGCACAAACAAGTGATGATTATAAATCATGAGTGTACCTGTAAATGTCAGTATGCACTTATGTGAATGTGTGTAAATGTACATGTGTATGTTTATAGGAAAGTTATGTGTATTATGTGCATATATGTAAGTGCAAAAGTGTGTCTGCTGTAATGCATTATTTATGTGTGTATGTGTAAATGAATTTAAATTATCAAATTTATTCATGCCAAATATATGCACATCATTGAAGTTTATATGTTATCACATTATGAACCTTTGAAGTGATGTACCCAGTCTGTCACTGATCTGAAAGAGGAAAAAAGTATTAGTCATGACAAACTCATTATTAATCTGTGCGCTACTGTACAGAGACGAGTCAATATACAAAGCTTACCTTCTGGTAGAAGCTAATTTGACCTTCCAAGAATGATGCAATAGCCTTGTTGAAATCCTTTGATCGAGCAGCCTGGAAATGGGCTAACTCCGCTTCAAATGCATATGCGACTGTGTCCGAATGGTTGATTATTTGAGGTAACTGATCATACTCCAGCCGCCCTTCTTTGGCATCCTTCTCAGCATTTCTTCTCTTAGCTAGAACATCCTAAGGGAAGTAGTTTATGGATAGTAATTTGGTTATAGACCATGTTAATAAAAGGATATATTGGATAAACCCATTACTAGGCCAGTCACACACCTTTAATAATGAATTGACACTTGTGAAAGAGTATATAAGCCCCCGGTACTCAAAGAGAAGGTTACTCAGAGGATCCCAGTCGTGCTTTGGCTGCATTTCATACATTGTACCAATATCCTCATAGGCAGTGCTCATTTCTTGAAGGGCCTGGGATAGACCTGAGCCATCTAAAATACGAAAAAGGGAAAAAAGCATTCTGAAGAAAGAAGAGATGCTGGAACGGGCAAGTGAAGTAGGTTGAAAACATCTCTTCTCAGCAAATAAAAAAATTCAATAACGTCAACAGTGAAAAACAGTGATAATCTCAAATTTTATACAATTTCGTAAATATCAATAGATCTTTAATGGAAATGGAAGTAAAATATATACAATGCTGCTTTGAACACTTGTTTCTTAGCGTTAGTATTAGTGAATGGATAGCAGTTTTCCCATTTCAGATGAAAAGAAATTACCATTGTAAGGATCGGTTTCAAATGCTTTGCTGAGTTTAGAAAAAGAGTTATATATATATATATATTATATATATATATATATTATATATATATATATTATATATATATATATATATTATATATATATATATATATTATATATATATATATATATATATTATATATATATATATTATATATATATATATAATATATATATATATAATATATATATATATAATATATATATATATAATATATATATATATAATATATATATATATAATATATATATATATATAATATATATATATATATATATAATATATATATATATATTATATATATATATATATAATATATATATATATAATATATATATATATAATATATATATATATAATATATATATATATATATAATATATATATATATATTATATATATATATATAATATATATATATATATAATATATATATATATATAATATATATATATATATATATATAATATATATATATATAATATATATATATATAATATATATATATATATATTATATATATATATATATATAATATATATATATATATTATATATATATATATATTATATATATATATATTATATATATATATATATTATATATATATATATATATTATATATATATATATTATATATATATATATTATATATATATATATAATATATATATATATAATATATATATATATATTATATATATATATATTATATATATATATATATAATATATATATATATATTATATATATATATATATATATAATATATATATATATATATTATATATA